GATCGTGTTCATGACAGGAAAGCTATGCTCAATCAGATTGATTAGCGGTCATCTGAATGACAAAACATAACAATTGACTGATAAAATTAGCTGCTTTATGGCTCTTAAACCCTTGCTTTTTGAGACTTAATTAACCAAAAAGGTCAGAGTGTCACCCAGTTGGTAGGTTGTGGCTATTGCTTGATTCAATCTGATAGTAGGAACACCTCCAAAAACTGTGGAGACCTGCTTCCTGGGGAACTTAATAAAGGGCCTGAAAAAATAAGTATGCTCTTGCTACCTCTGTATGCACTGGAAATTTCCTGTGAGGTAGGAAAATACACTGACACTGTTTTACAGGTTAGGAAATGAGTCAGCCAAGTGTATTTCTAATGTTGTGCAGGAAGCCTAAAGAACTGAACCCATGTCTCATCTGTGGTTCTTACCGGTGGACCATCTACCCCTGTTTTGCCAGGAAACTTTCAATATTCTCTAGCAGAGAAAGCTAGTAATTCCCATTTGTAACTGTGGACTTCAATTTTACCAAAAAAAAAAAAAAAAAGGTACAAGAAAGACTTCTTTGAACATACTATAATTAAAAATGTAAAGAACGTATGGGAAGCCCTGTTGCCAGCTTGAAGATGATGGCAAGACAAGGACTCCTAAAGGACCAAATGAATGCATGGATACCAAAATCTTGTTCTAAAGGCCAGTGCTCTGACATCTCAATTTTTGGTAAAAAGAAATAAATTTCTAGTTCTCATAGATGTTAAGAGTTTTGTAAAGTGACTGATGCAACAATATGCACATGAGTTAGAGAGTTGTGTACTTCATGTACTCTAGCTTTGAACGTTCCTCTCCATGGCCCAGCAATGCCATGCTTTATGTCCGGAGAAGAGTGGCCCATGTTTGTATTAAAGATTATAGGGACTAAAATATAGAGCCTGGAAATGCTTTGCATTGTAATCTATGGGAGAATGTTCCATGTGTTATGTTAATGTTCCACAGACATAGCCACTTGAGGAAAGACATCTTATTTAGGATTTCCGGGCAATGTTTCCCAACAGGGGAATTATGAATTGAATATTTTAGATACTTTATTACAAGGAGAGGGAAGCCTTCACTCTTAGCACGTTTTCCATGAGAGATTATAGGGAGTATCTCTCTAAAAACAGTGCAATACAATATGTGACACATGGGATATGGTTCTTTCCCACTGATTTTGTGCTCCTGTAGTTTTACTTGACATAGTGAGAACACCCCTGGTTTACACTAGAGTATGCAAAAAAAAGAGAATCAAGCTAATAGTCATGCAAAAATGTCATCAATAAGGAGAAAGTAAAGTATTAGTGTATTTGTCTAGCAACTTACCAGTCAAACTGTGAGAATCTTTTTGTATCCTCATCCCCCTATCACTGGCTAAATAAGGAATTGAATAACTACTGAAGAGCTGGGTGGAGACTTAAGAAAGCAATTCAGCAGTCTGGAACTTCCTCTGCTAAGCAATTCTGGCACTAAAACCAAGAAAAGCAGAGTTACCCAGCCAAAATAAATCCATGCAATGATGATATCAGATGTGAGGTAACAGTATGTTGTGCTGGAGGATATCAGACATTCTTGCATAAACCACAGCGCCCAGAGCCTAGATATGATTCTTTGCTATGACACGGCAGATCTGCCAATGAAGCAAACAAAAAGTTTGGAGTCGATATGGCAAGGTGTGTAGGGCATATGGCATCTGTGTGCCATCAGCTGGAGCACCTTCAGCCCTCACACCCCCAAAGGCCATTGCATGTCTTTGCTTCCCACACTCAGGTCCTTAGGGAAGCAATCAGCTTTCTGGTGTCATTCCTACAAGAAACAGCTAAAAGCTGCATTGAAGTTTTCCCTTCTCTTTCAGCACATTATTGATTGAACTTTTCTATCACCTTCTGGCTGTTTTCCTTAATTTTTGTTTGTGTCTGCATGTGTGGTCATACTCTGGAAAGTGACTGAATTGCCTCATTTTAAGAAGCTAATTGTTTGTCATCTGAGCAATATAACTGGCCACGTATGTCTCCAAGCTTACAGTAGTAAGTTGGGCTTTAGTGATTTGAGAGGTATCACTTCCCTCTGCTTTTCCTGCC